AAAAATAAATAAATGTTGAAAAAAATTTAAACACGTGCACATCTATGACTGAAACGTGATGTGTGATGCTCTGATTCCCCAGCGCCTTCAGGAAGGTGTGAGTGTTTATATACTCAAATGCCTCATTAGTTTCAGAGAAGCAAATCTAAACGTTCTAACAGATGCTATATTTCAGCCAAGTGATTCTACCTGCAGGAGCCCATGCTCTGCTCACCTGCCCGATGCTTTCTCCCAAACGTACGGGTTGCCAGTGAACCTGCTTAACAAGCCATCTCTGGATTTCTGCATACTGTTCAAGACCCCATCACTACAAGTCCCCTCCTGTCCAGCGTCTACCTCAGCAGCCTCTAGTCAACGACTACAAGTCTCAGAACAACCAGGCCGGGGTCCCTGGCTGATCACCCACGAAGACTGTTGCCCTGTCCCCTCCCCTCATGAACATCAGCTGCCTCCTGGCCCTGACACTCAGCACTTCTCTCCTTCCCAGCACTTCACTGTACCCCCACCATTCAAATCCAAGATGGCACAGAAAGACAGATCATAATAAGTGGTGTGGAGAACAAGGACATCGCACAAATGTGGATTTAAGCCCCAGCTCTCTCTTTCAGGCGAGGTGACTTTGGACAGGTTAAGTTATAGGAGTCTCCCTTCCTCAACTTCAGTGTCATGGAGTTGTGAGAACTTAAAGTGAGTCAATACACACAAACTTGGTCCCAAAGGTTTGCAACTCACTCCACCCCACACATGTGCATTGCGAAGACACCCCTTCTCAGGTAAAATCTGGAACCACGAACTAAAATCACCCTTGGCCCTTGAGCCCGGCTGCTCCCCAGGCATGGCCCGGAGCGGCACACTAGTCCTTAGGGGTTAAAAATAGTGCAGGCAGCTAGCTGAGCTCGGTTAGTAGAATATCCAGGTTAATTTTAGCATCAGAGCTCAAGAGAATATAAAATCCCTGATGCCAAGAAGCATGTGTGGCCAACACGACCCCTTCTTCACTGTCAAACACACACACAGTGAAGAAGCTAACATCACTGAGACCCCTCCCTCATATTCACAAAATGTTTTCTCTAACTGGGAAAACATTTCTTCTCAGCCTTGTAAAGACACTACCACTGGCGATAACTATGTTAACTTATCAAGCAGGACACCACCTCCTCTGACCCTTACGGGCCCCTGCGATGGGCACACTGCTGCTTCCCTTGTAGGAAATTCAGTTAAATATCCCACTTTGAACAGAGCAGACCCAGAACCCCAAGCTTCCAGCCACTGTGGTCTGGGCCTTCTTCACCACACCACACCCCTCCTAACCAGCCACTGGGCCAAGGGCGGTGCAGGCCAGAACCCTCAGCCACCACTTCCTGTTCCCCTCTCAGGAGGGACCTGCTGCTTCTGGTGGGGTTATGTTTACCACCAGTTGTGGGGCGGGCACGAGATTTGGGGGGGCTCCCCTGGGCCCAGAGCACCAACAGCCTGCGGGGCCACGTTTTGTTGACAGGAGGAGCGGTCAGTTCCGATGTGCTTGCGCTGGACCCATACCACCATCCACCATCGACTTTCTTGGTGGACAAGTTACAGTCTCACAGAGAAGGAACGTGAGAGCACGCCCTGGGCCCAGTGCAGCGTGAGAGGATCAAGAGGAAGGAAGGGAGAGAGATGGGGAACAGGGGAGAGCCCGCCTCAGGGAACCAGGCGGAGCTTGGCCTCACATGAGACACAAATGCCAACACACCAAGCAGATCCAAATTGTGTCCTCCAACCTGATGATGAAAACCAGTGACAGAGCAAGAAGACTTTTCTCAGCCTGGAATGCAAGGCTGGGGGTTTGGTTTTGTTTTGTTTTGTTTTATTAGCTTAAGAGAAAAATCTTTCTATATCCCTCTTAATTGAACACATTTATCAAGGTGGTACTTTTAAAAATCAGTAGTAGCCATTATGGAAAAGGCAAAAATCACTGAGAAGTGAGTTTTATCGCAGCCCCTAAAGGAGCACCGTGCCCAAAACAGCACCGCCCGAAGACCTCTCATCGTGGGTCCCTCGCACAAGCCTCACCAACAATCTCCAAGCTGCTTCCCTTCTAGCACGAAGGCCCTGACTCATGGAAAGTCCGAAAAGCGCACTTCCTCAAAGTTACCATCTCATAGGAAGTGCATCTGGCCTTAGCCAACATGAGATACTAGTGTAAAAACAGTAACAATCATCACCAAAGGTGGACGATGTTTAAGTGTACAGAAGAACTACTCAGAATAACTGTGAAATTGAAGTGGGGAAAGCAACAGCTTCTTCGAGACAAGGACTCAGAACAGTTCAAGCACAAATGCCTCACTCTGATCTGGCATTTGCAGAAGGTGGAAGGGCAAGAGAAAGGGGAAGAGGGAAACAAGGAAGGGACCCTTCCCACTGTCCCCAGCCATCGCCTGTCAGTGAGACCAAGTCCTATCACACAATCCAGAACTATTTAAGAACTAAAAGGCCAAGGCCCAGACACCTAAAAAACTCTTCATCCTCCCAAAAATGTTCTGCCTTTTTTCTTAGCAGCAGAAGTAGTGATACTGCTTATCGGTATCACTTTAGGAAGAATTTTCTTTCTGTCCTTTTCTGGGAGTAAAGAGGTGGGCATTAATGTGAGCTGGAACAATACCAGCTTGTAAGCCCCCACCGGATGCAGTAGACAATTATTGCCTGTGTTTTGCAAATGGAAAAATGAGGCTATGGAAGGGGAGGACACTTGCTCTGGGTCACCCAGCAGGCCAAGAGCACACGGGCACGCAGCCAGCTAGCCTGGAGACAAGGCTCTGAGATGAATGGGCCGCCTGGCCAGTGTGCCTCCGAACAAGGAGGGGCGAGTGTGCATGTGACCACGTGTGTATGATTCATGCGTGTCTGCCCCTCCTCCAGATCGACTGTGGTGTTCCTCGTCATCTCGTGCCTTCAAGACCAGGACATTCAGGCAAGTCAGAGCCGAGACTGGCCAGAGCAGACAACGAAGGAAAGAGATCAAGAGCTCAGCACACTACCTTCCAAGCTCGGGATCACTGTCACCACATTCTATTAACAGGCTGTCCCTCAAGTTAAAGGAGACTAAGCCCTAAACCAGCACAACCCACAGTTCACCTTCAGGGTCTCCCGCCCAGGCTCTAACTCAGAAGCACAGCCAAGCCAATTTCTGTGCTCAAACACAGGAGGCTGCCTGAGGCGTGTGCGGGCCCTGCTCCCTGAAAGCCCCCACTGCAAAGGTGAGACACAGATGTCTTCCTCCTTCAGCCCAGCACTGGGGATGCAGACCCTCGGAGAGAAGAGAAAAACAAGGGCTTCTTGGAACCAGAACCACATCCAGGGAGTTGGATGGTGGTTCCTGCTCAGCCCCCAAACATGGGGAAGGAGGGCTCCAGAGGGTCCGAGGGTACCCAGTCCCACATGGGGTTAGAGACGGCAGATGCGCCAGTCACGGCTGGGTGTTTCTTTCGCTTGTGTAAAGTGGAACACAAAGGACAGAAAGCCTAACCAAGCAGCATCTTCAAACCCCCTTCTTTCTACACCAGGCCCCTCCTCGTCGGGATCCAGAACCCACTCATGAACATGCGTTAGTGTGGTGTGCTCCTGGGTCTTCAGGTGTCTCTCCTCACTCCTTGCCTCGCATACTGTGCCATTCTGGAAAGCAACCCTCTCCGCTCATTCCTCCAGAACACTCCTGAGGTTGAGTCTGAGACTGGCTGTGCCAGGCCTGAACCGTAAAGCCCTCAGACCCATTCCTGCCAGCTGCACCCAGAGGCCTGGCACACTCTTCCACAGACAGACCCACCCAGGTCCCCCTCCTGCTCCCCTTGATTAAGGAGGCACCTCTAACCCTCACACAGCTCAGTGGGCCCAGGCTCTGAGTGAGGGCTCTTGGTGGAAGGGCCATGGTACAGGCGCTCTCCCTGCCCCCACTTCAGCAGGAGGGCAGTGCTGAATCTCTCAGTATGAAAGTGACAGCAGATCTCAACCAAGTAAACAAGAGAAATCTTCTGCAGGCAGAGTCCTCAAGCCCGAAGGGCGGCTGCATCCAATCCGCTTCTCAGCCAAATATCAACAGTGTCTCAGTGATGATCCATAAACCAAAATAAAGCCGACAGGAAACAACACGCTGATTTGGGGGAGCTGGAATTCCTCAGGCAGCATCAAATGTCATCAACAACTGACACTCAGTCACTGGGTGCCTGGCTCGGTTCCCAGCGGCCCCTTTTCACACGGGACTGTGGAAGCAAGAAGGACCCTGAGGCCAGGCGACACTCTGGGTCCTCGCAAGCCCTCTTCGACACAAGCGGTCCCCCATCTAGCACATTTATGGCACCAACGTCTAGCAGTCACTCCAGGCAGGGATCTTGTTTTTTGAGGAGGGGGGACGTGCACGTCTCCCTCCCGAGATAAAACGAATCTCTCCAGATAAACCCAGGAAGTCCAGACATAGCCTTCCAGCCCACTCCAGAATCCGATGTCATTTCCCTCCCCCAGCTCCTGGACCCAGAGACAAGGGCAGGATCCTCCCTGGTGACACGGCCTGAATGGCAGGCGCTGGTGGCCAAAAGCTCCCCCTCCCCCTCCCCGCCGCCCCGCCCCGGCCAGTTCTCAATGGAAGGGGGCGCCGGGGGTAGCTCCCCGTCTCCTAGCCTGAAGGAGCCCGCGCGGAGGGCTCTCCACACACAACCGCCCACCCGGAGCGCACACCCGCACCAGCCCCCGCCGACCCCACGCCCCCGGGGGAACGCGGGGAAGGAAGTTTCTGGGTGCAGCAGCCGCGGGGAGATGCGGAACCTGAGGTCTGCTGCTTGGTCCCCGGCAATGCGCACACCCAGGGCCCCAACTGGCGCACGCGCGCGGCAGGGACTGGCCCCGCATCCCGCGCCGCACCGCCCTCTACCCGGGTCCGCGCCTCCAGGGAGCGGCGTCCCCGGAGCCGCCGCAGCCGGGCCGGTCCTCTGGGGGAGGGGACGCCGGCGCCCGCCGCCCCTGGCGCTCACCGATCTTGATCTTCACGCTCTGGAAGACCCGGAGCCCCTCTTCCTCCACCGCCATGCTGGGTCGCCCGCCCGGGAGCTCGCGGGCCTCGCCAGGATCCGCGCGCCGAGCCGCGAGGAGCAGCCGGAGCCCGAGCGGCGCAGTCCCCGCGCTCTGCGCCAGACCCCGCGCGCGCCGGGCCCGCGGCGCCACCGCCGCCCGGCTCCGCCCACGGGCCTGCCCGGGGCCCCATTGGCTGCGGCTGCAGGGGCGGGGCGTAACGGTTCCGCCCATATCGCGACTCCAACTGTCCATTGGCTGAGATCTAGGAGGCGGGAGCGAGGCGGCTCCTCCCGCAAAACAGCCCCGCCTCCACATTGGCCAAAGCTCGGAGATAGGCGGGGTCGGTCTCCGGGAGGATAGGAAGGGACCCCGCGGCGGGGGGGGCGCGAAATGGGGGGGAACCGGGCGGGGAGTGGAAAGGAAGGTGGGGGAACTGGGAGGGAGATGAGAAGCCGGCGGGGGATTGGGGGGAAGGACTCGGCGGGGGTTGAGGGGCGCAGGATGAAAGGAGGCCAGGCTGGGAGAGGGGGGCACAGGTTGCGGGGGACCCAGGCAGGGGAATGGGGCTGGACCCGCCAGGGGCTCGGGGGAAGAAGGGAGACCCTGAGGCTCCCTTCGTCTAGATGAATGAGCTCGAGAATCTTGAATCCTAGTTTTCCTAAATGTTCTGGACCTGAAGAGGTGTCCCATTCCTCCCTGTTAGAGAGCAGTGCTCTCTGTGGTTGAGGTGATTGCAGGGACCTCTGCGAGACGATAGTGCACCCGGTGATCAGCCTCCCGCTCCACTCGCCATGCCACCATCCCCCAGCTGGAGAAGCGCCGGGTCTGACAAAGAAGAAGGTCCTGTCTGCAAAGGAGCCTCCGACCTAGGAAACATGTGCCCAAGGGACTGGGAAAATAAACGCAAAACCGGATCAGGAGAATATTGGATTCCGGCAGGCAGGACAAGAAGGTAGATCAGGTTAGGGTTTATTGACATGGGATCATTCCATCATGACACAGGATTTGGCACCTTGGCAAGCACTCCATGCCACTAGCGTGGCCTTTGGAAGCTTGTAAAAAGTGATGCCCCACACTAAGTGGAAATGCCAGAGTCACGGCAGACAACACAGAAAAGCATCAAAATGCTCAGAGAAGTGACACAGGATAGTAAATATGCTCCCTAAGCCAGGGAAACCTGGTTACCGGATAGGTTTCCTGGAAAGCCCAGAGGACACTCCATTTACAAAAAAGAATATGCAGATGAGACCCTGAGCAGTAGCTGGCTTTCTAGGACGGGTCTGAGGGTGCAATTACAGAGGGCACTGGGCTCCCTGATAGCAGTGATGATGATCAGACAGTGACATAATAGAGTCCAAGCAGTGAAGTCTAACCATCGGAAGCAAGCCAGCTGCTATTATTATACTTAGCAGCAAGACTACAATGGCAGCCTGGGCACTCTGAACTGCAAAAAGCTACAAAGGTGGTCAGCTTAATGCAGTGTCAGGAGCAGGGCAGCTAACCAGCCAACGAAAGTATTGCTCCATTCTTACAGCCAAAGGAAGTCAAAGTATCAGGAGGCTGAAGGAATTTGCCCCAATAAACCCTGTGAACCAGGTCCCACCCTGAGAACCCACTGCCTGGAGAAGAGGACTTGGCTACCCATGTGCACGGAAAGGATTCGCTTAGTACTTTCCCCAAAGGCAGCAGTGTCCATTTACCCAGACATTTCATGGAGAGTTGGGCTTTGAGTCTGAATCAATATGATACCCAGGGACCCAAGGTGTCATCATGCCCTTGTTAGAATAGGACTTTCAAGGTCCAGGAAATAAATGGAGGCCTGGCCCAGGTGGGGCTTATAGTAGGCCCACTGGATCCAGGGACCCACTTGGTGACCATTTCTTTTCTCTGGCACTGAAGGTAAAATTGGCATAGACATATGTTACAGTTGTCAGAAAACTCATATTGGTTCCTTGGTGTGGGGGCTAAGAGTCATGCCAGCAGGGAAGGCCAGGTGGGGTGCCAGAACAGAAAATAAAAACCATAGCACATCCTAGGGAGAGACAGAGACCAAGGCTCCCCTTAAAGACTGGAAGCGTCATTTAACTCACCAGGCCCACCTATGACTGCAGACAGATTCTGGAGGATGACTGTAGACCACAGAAGTCCCACCACACAGTCACCCCGATTGTGGCCACTGTATCAGATTGTCCGCTGCCAGGCCACGCCAGCACAGCCTCTGGCCACGGCATCCACTGACATGTCCACTCTTCTCCATCCCGAATAGGAAAGAGAATCAGAAGCCATTTGCCTCACACGGCATCGACTAACACACACTTCCAACCTGCCCCACTGTTAGGCTTTCCTGCCCTCGGTTATAATATAGTCCAAAAAGACCTGGACCATCTGGACAGGATTCAGAATGTTCATTTGACTCACCATATTAATGACATCATTTTAATTAGACCAAATGAGCAAGAAGTTGGCAGTTCATTGGAGGCTTTGGAAAGACATGTGTGGTCTAAGACACATGTGCTCAGAGGACAGGAAGTAAATTTGTGAAGATTCAGGAGCTCCCCACATCAGTGGGGTGAGATGTCCATGACCATGGATCTCTCTGTCCCTCTACGAACCACAGAGACTGACACAGCACACTTCCAAGATCCCTTCCTTAACAAAGGCCAATGGCCACAGGACTGTGCAAGCACCCTGTCTTCTCAAAACTGTGTTCTGCACAAGGGAATTGATCATTAGTTTTCCAAATTAAACTCTGTTCCCTTAGAGCTATGATGATAAGAAACGGGAAAATATTGGGGGGTTAAAGGAAAAGATTAAGCTATGTTGAACGTATCTATAATCTCTTTTGTTTATAACTCACTGTTACATTTTTCCCTCTTTGATAGAATCCTCTTCTGCACCCTTCCCAAAAAATATTTCTTGAAAAGTACCAGTCTATCAACTGGTATTTATGAATTGCTAAGACAGCATAATTAAATCGTTTATTAATCATATCTGATTAATATACTTTCAAAGGATTTGAAATGGCATAAATGACTAGTATATAATAGAATATTCATTATTATTTTTTAAATATTTTTATTTATTTTTGAGAGAAACAGAGAAAGAGCAGGGGGAGGGGCAGAGAGGGAGGGAGACACTGAATCCAAAGCAGGTTCCAGGCTCTGAGCTGTCAGCACAGAGCCTGATGCGGGGCTCAAACCCACAAACCGTGAGATCATAACCTGAGCCCAAGTCAGACGCTTAACAGACTGAGCCACCGAGGTGCCCCTAGAATACTTTTTAAAAGGTCCAAAAACAGTAATGAAGGAAGAGACTATTGTACCAAATACCTACAGTGAAAACAGCTACTGCAGAGTACACAGCTCAACTGTCAGTTTCCTGATTGTCAAGGTAAAAACAGAAATATGGAAATATGGCATTTTATACAAGTTCTGTTATTTAATACACAGAAGTGTTTTAGTTTTTCAGAAAAGGCTATTTGGGCCAACTAAGTGATACAAGGAATTGTTTTATAAGGGACATTCAGCAACTTGGGGAAGGATGTTTGCAATCTCAAATGACTTAAGGAGCCTTTGCTGACATGCTCACTACAGCACCTGGCACAGAGTAAAAGCTCAACTAGTATTTGTTGAATAAATGCACTGGAATCTCCTATTGTCTCATGAAAACTTTAGAAACATGACGTTAGCTCATAATTTGGGGGGAAGATTCATCCAGGCTCTCAGGAGTCAAGGAGCATAGCTCCCTCATGGCCCGAGTGTCTCTGAGAGAATGCTGCTAGAGAATCTAGGGAGATGAGTCATCACACACCTTTGAATAATATTTCTCAAATATTCATTGTTTGGGCCACACAGAGCACAGAGTCGAGCAGGGAACACATGTACACTAAGGTTCCTCGTGGACACTTGAAGCCCAGATGTGCTGCTGGTAGAAAGGAGGCCCAGTACTCCGGGAGCAGGTGGGCCAAGCAGCCACACTTGACTGTCTGCTGCGAGGAGGCAGTGGTAGGCCTCAGTGGTGTGCACCCATTCCTCTTCCGGGAAGCATGAGGGCGACACTGCCTGCTCTCCTCACGGCTCAGCAAGCAACTGTGTCGCTGGAGAGGGAGGGAAGGGACATCACATCTGGCTGGAAGCTGGGAAAAGCCGCTGGGATATTTTCCAGGCTCTCCTCCTGCTGTGGCAAGTGAGAGGCCTCATTTTGAAACTCAGAGATAAGACAGGAGCAGCCTGGATCCCTGAGTCACTACTGGAGGCCACTGGGATCTGCAGCTGTGAGGGTGACAAATGTGAAACTTCCCTCCGGTGAGGCCAGTAAGATTTGGGAACCGCATAGCCCAAGTCTGTCCCACCCCTGCTAATAAAAACTTCAGTAAGGTGTGTTTGGCAAAATCAACAACACAGGAAGCACCAGGTGTCAGTGAGGGTGCGGAAAAAGGGGATCTCTCCTACACACTGGGTGGGAATGCAAACTGGTGCAGCCACTCTAGAAAACAGTGTGCAGGCTCCTCAAAAAGTTAAAAATAGAACTACCCTACTATCCCATAGTCACACTACTGGGTATTTGCCCAAAGAATGAAAAAACACTAATTCAAAGGTATACGTGCACCTGGGTGTTTATAGCAGCACTATCTACAATAACCAAATTACAGAAACAGCCCAAGTGTCCACTGACTGAGGAATAGAGAAAGAAAGTGTAGCACACCTATCTATCCACACACACAATGGAATATTACTCAGCCATAAGAAAGAATGAGATCTTGCCATTTGGAACAACATGGATGGAGCTAGAGAATATTATGCTAAGTAAAATAAGTCAATCAGAGAAAGACAAATACCATATGGTTTCATTCATATGCAGAATTTAAGAAACAAAACAAATGAGCAAAGGGAAAAGAGAAACCAAGAAACACTCTTTTTTTTTAAAACGTTTATTTATTTTTGAGAGACAGAGTGCGAGCAGGGGAGGGGCAGAGAGAGAGGGAGACAAAATCCAAAGCAGTCTCGGGGCTCTGAGCTGTCAGCACAGAGCCAACACAGGGCTTTTACCCACAAACCAGAAGATCATGACCTGAGCCAAAGTTGGACACTTAACCGGCTGAGCCACCCAGACGCCCCCAAGAAACAGA